TTCCCGAATCCTGTTTTTGTCCTTTCTCCTCACTAAACTCTTCTTATTTTCTTTCACTCTCAGTAACCCTTTGCGTTTTGGTGGCATTATCATCTTGCGTGGAATGAAATGATAAAAAATAAATTTATTTCATTATCCGTTTGCGTTAACAGTCTCAAGAGAAAATAGGTTCTTGAGTATATAAAGAATTTACAAACTACAAACACTTTTTTTCGGATCATGGCCCTCATCTTATACTTAGTTAATCTGTGTAGTAAGACACCAAAAATAATGACACCAAAAAGCTTATTCGGGAATAATAAAAGATCCTATTGAAAATAAGTAGACAGAACACGTCTAAATTATTCAACGAAACATATCTCATATATATATATATATATATATATATATATATATATATATATATATATATATATAATGATAATAATAATTTTAAAAAAAATATGATTCCATCGCTACATAAGAGTTCTCATGTTTCAGAAACAGGAGCTAAAAACTTCAATTTAATTATAAAAAATAAATTGAATTAAAGTATCAAGCTCTGTTTCACTTTGAAGCGAAATTTTTGGAATAATCTAATTCTAATTTAGGCTCTACTTATGTATTGAGCACTGTTTTTTTTTTTAAATAATAACAAAAATACTAAAGAACTTCCGATTATTAACCTAACGTGTTCTTTCCTATTTTTCTATATATTTGCACGCACATACACACACAGAGATATATATATATATATATATATATATAAATATTACTTATGACAACCTTATATATAAAAGTCATAAGTAATTTCCATTATTGGGAACAAATTTTAATGACGAATGTATCATCTTAACTACCAATTATAAGTGATTAAGAAAACCTAGCACATTGTTTGTTTAACAGCATATCAACCTTTTATTGGTCATTTTGTGCTGAAATTGAATTTTCTTGGGAACTTTATAATAAGTAATAAAAATGTTATTCTGCTTTCACAATTGAATACATGGTAGATGATACTCAGCTTTTGTGCATATACATGTTTGTATAGACATGATTACTTGAGGCGGTGACATGTGTGTTTTATGTTGTAGTTTATATTCTGGAATACGGTTTGATTTAAGAAATTGTAGTGTATTATATGGATTAATGTCATGAAAGAGTTATTTCATGTTTGGTTGGTTGATTTTTGTTTAGCGACATATCAACACCTCTATGGGTTATTTACTGCCTAAATCTAAATACTTTGAACACAGTTTTATTGCTTCAAATTCAACTTCAGAAAAATGTATTGTTGGTCATTTTCCTATAAAATGTATTGTTAGTAATTCTAGAATAAAATGTATTATTGGTCATTTTTCTATAAATATCTTATTGTTGGTTATTTGCTATGCATATGTATTGTTGGTCATTTTGCTATAAACAAGTATTTTTATACTTTCATGGTGGTTTTTTTTTTGGGGGGGCGTTCACTATTTGGCCATAGATGGGATCCTAACAGGTGATACCACCTCGCGTCAGGGTGAATCTGAGAACAACAGTAATTAAAAGGCGGTTCCACGCTCTTCTCAACCTCCAATCTCCCGATCAGAAGCCTTGCTGCCAGATGTAGTTTATCATCATACCCAGGAATGGGTCAGATATGAAAAAGTAAAGACCTAATATATTTCTATAATTTAACAAAGATTGTAACTTCCAATATATTATATATAAGGTTGGCATAATTATTCTTAATTAGGAATCATACGTGGAAGTTAAAAATAATTTTGGAATGCACTAACATGATAATGTTTGAACCAAAAGCAGAGGAATGACAATCATAAATCTCCACAACCGATCCCAAAATCAGTGTAATGTGTATGTGCTGAGATCGTTGGAGTATCATTCCTGTTGAGTTCTTAAAATGCATTAAAACAGTCAATGCACATTTTTCTGTCCAGCAGCTACAATATGTCGATATAAGTTTTGATCGAGAAAAGCAATGTGCTCGTCAAAAGGGAAAATCTTGTTCCCCTCTATTTTAACGCAAGGTCGCATACAGAAAGAATAAGACAAGAAACAAATTTGGAACTCGGTTGGTCTGTTCTACACCACACACCGCCCTATTCACCTCGCCTTACGCCAACTTTCTTGAATGCTGCAATGGGGAGAATTTTCTCTAATGAAGATCAAATACAAAAAATGGCAAAATTTTGCGCAAATGTTATCTAAGATCAGCTTGATAAGTTGCAAAATGATGGCGAATATATGATTGAATAAAGCATGATTGTACTGTATTTATTAATGGATAAAACTGACACCCGTTGGAGGCATGGCACGTGGAACTAGAACAATCTACCCGAGTGGACGACATAAAAGATTCAGTTCAAAATGATGAAGGCCGGAGTGTACAACGGCCGAAACGTTGTGAATATGGCAATGAAGATGGACAATGTAAATAAAGTAAGTAAAGAATAAAACTGAACAAAAACGAAAATTACCTTATATAATCGTGTATAGTGCGAGGTTTTATGACCTTTTTTTAAAGTGAAAAACAGCGGTGGGGGCACACTATACACAGTTAATTTTTTTGAAGAGGTTAAAATCATGTATTTTTGTTGACCGGTTGCACTATAGACAGGTAAATATTTTTTTAGAGGGGTTAACTTAAAATTCATGTAAAAAAAAAAACCCTCAGGAGTCCCACTATGAAGTCGGCTTGCACAAATATATATGATATGTGTGACTCAAACTAATACCAGGTGTAGCAGCAAAATTGTCTAATTGTTAGATTAAGCTTTGCACCGGTGTATCTTGGAAATGATTAAAGATATCTTACTGGAATTTTCCGAGAATTTTATAACATTATTGGACTCTACTTTAAGCAATAAGAATGTATAATTACTCTCCAAGCTTAACAGAAGAATCCTGAGGAAATCGATCATAAATCATAATGTTCATCATTAACTAACCATAGCTAAGTATTGGGAGCTCATGAAGGTCCATATATATACATAAATATAGGTATATATATATATATATATATATATATATATATATATATATATAATTTCTGGATCATTTTCCAACTTATTCAAGATGATCTTCGGTTCTCTTCGTCTAAGTTTCTGTCCTGGAGTAACAAGTTGCCTCACAGGTCTTTTTTTCACTACTCTTTGGATTGTCATAGCTGAAACTTCTCTCTCACGTGCCAAATGGCTTATGAATTGAGTTTGATCTTTTCTTATTGGTTTCTTTAGCTCTAAGTTGAAATGGTGATCCCTCTTCCTGTTGTGACCTTTTGATCCAGTTTTCTTCTCTACTGTGCCCTCCTTTTAAAACTTATTCACCGTTTTCTTGATGGTTCTTGAATGGTCTTTGAAGATGAAAGCCAGAGCATGAATGTTGGTACCATTACTGAAAACCTGAATGATTTTTTCCTCTTACCATTGCTTAGTTGGGAAACGAAAACAATTCTAACTTTCTCTCTTTTTAGTTGAATAATGGTTTTTCAGTCATTCTTACGAAAATTAATGTCAAGATGGCTAAACGTCTTATCTGAAAACCTAGAAAACAGAAACTCAGTTAGTTTAGTGGGATTTTTACATATTAAACATTTTATGGGATGGACAATTATCCCATGCTGTAACACCCGGCACATATATATATATATATATATATATATATATATATATTGAATTCAGAGTTGTCCTCCTTCTAGACCGTTCGTCACCCAAGGCTATAGGACCCAGTCTGCCCTATTTACTTATAGCTGAGTGGGGAGAAGAGCTGGATTCATTTCCCAAGAATTCGAACTCGACTCTTTGATTCTTCAATCCAAGCCGCTATCCATTACTCCACCGTACCTCTATGAATTCAAAACCTGCGAAGGATCGTTTGGAGATCTTGTGGCATCCGCTGCACCAGTTCACTGTATTTGGCTCCCCTACAAAGTGTGGATGGTTCTTCACAAGCCTTCGCCACATCAATCAAATGAAATGCGCAGATAGTCTGGCTGTTGGTTCTAAGAACTGAGCTGCTTGAACCTCATACATCGAAAATGAGGGCAGAATTCAGTACTATATATACAGGGTGATTGAAAAGTAATTTCCTATATTATGTATGATGGCCTTTATTTTTCACTATCTTTCCAATTCCCTGTTCGGCCATTGATTTACACAAATTTGGTTACTCACCGTTTCCTTTCGCCCCTTTTCGCTGTCAGTACGTCTTGAGCGTGTTATATTCTCCAAGCTCTCCTTCATTATGTGTCTTCAAAGGTTAACTCTTTCTTTCTGAGTATAAGTATCGTTTTGTTTATTTATATTTTCCTCGCTATTTTTTCTCGTCTTGTAAAAATTAGTTAGATGGGAGAATCCATCATACATAAAATAGGGAGTTACTTTTCAATCTCTCTCTCTCCCCATATATATATATATATATATATATATATATATATATATTTCATTTTCGTGTCAACCTTTGTTTTTCTGAGATATCGGATTCATGGCTCGTTTTTACTTTTATAACACTCGCAAAATGTTGCGGTCAGAAAAAGCACTTTTGATAAGATTGCTATTGTCGACAACTGCAAAAAGGAAATGGACTGTTGGCTGAGTGCTAGAAAGCAAAGACATTATAACATCGTGCAAGTTTATTAAATAAAGTTGGCTTAAGCCTCACTTATTTTATGAAGTATTCTGCATCTTATCCATTAAAAAAATATTCAGTTTCCATAGAAGTTTTTTTCTTCCGTTCGCTACAAATTACGATAAAACTAACAAAGGTCGTTAGAGCAAACTTTTCTTTGTTGTTATTTGTGTGGTTTTATTTCTGTTTTATTACATTTTGGTAATTGTATTTACACTTCCATGTTCCATGAACAAATTGCTTGCCCAATTTCCCCACCACCACCACCACTTTTTAACTACTTTGCTTTAGGAGGACTAAAAAGGTTATGAAAATTGAGATGACGATATGTCGAGGAAAGAAGCAATGGCATAAAGAATGAACTGAAGGAGACTAGAAATGGCGCGAAAGATTCATACAGCAAAAGAGGAATAAATAAAAGATGGTGGTTTATTGGATAAGGAGACGTTGAATTCTTTTGTGGATAAAAAGGGAAGCAAAACGACGTGGAAGAAAAAAGAAAAATGGAGAGGCGAGCAAAGGATTGAAAGAGGAGTTAAAGTGAAGAGGAAAACGAAGGAAAGAGCAGGAATAAATGAAAAGAAAGGAAAGAAAGACATGGAAAGTTGAAGATCAAAGAGTAGCTAGAAAATAAAATGGAGAAGTAGAAAAGTATATATATAATGGGAAGTCAGGAATGAAGACCAAAAAGAAAATGAACATGAGACAGAGAGAGGTGACGAGAAAGACTGAAAGAGATAAAGAAAAAAAAAACGGTCAACAACTTTATTCTTACATAAAAGAACCTGTTGAGAAATTTATCTTAAGCTCGTTCCCATTTGGCATTTTTTCTTCCGTGTTTTTCGTTCATTTTTCTACTGACCCATTGCAGAATGAATCTCAGAGACCATTCTTATAGAAAGTCGGAAGAACGAATAAAAACCAGAAGAGAAAGGAGGGTGAGAATGAGGACAAAACACGATTGACGCAGGGTTATGCGTGTGAAGAATTTCGCCAGACACGCAGTCACCTGACGTTAAGAGTAAACAAAATCCAAATGACGGGACAGCCTTTTACAAATTGACGGGGGGAAAAAAGAGGGGAAAAAATAAACAATAATAAACCACAAAAAAAAGACGAACCAAACCCAGGCCTTGGTTTATTATGTACTAAATCTATCGACCCACCCCGAACAATCTTCAAGCCTTTCACCCGTACGAAAATAAAAATAAAAAGAAACAGACGCAAATTCTTCATTATTCTTGTGTAGACATCTGACAGGAATATGTCATATTGGGTTACATGGTGTGGACACCAGTCGTTGTGGTGGGTGGCTTGGTATGGATGTGTTAATAACAGCTGCTGTGTGAATGAGTCTAGCTCAGCAGGAAGAGCATAGTGTTGCATGCAGGATGCTCTTAGGTTCTAGCAGCGATACTGGGTCGGTGCCATACATTACAGTATTTTAACTAAGTCAAAGCACTCATATTTTGGATTAAGCCAAAGCATCATTACTCTTAGGAATCTGTCAATCTTTCTGTTTTAAGCAGAAAAACATTCTGGACAGTTCTACTTGCATAGATACAAGTAAAAACAAAAAAATATAAAAATTCTTAGTTTATAGTTTTTAAGGGCACACACACACACACACACACATATATATATATATATATATATATATATATATATATATATATATATATATATATACTCGACTCTCCTGTCGAATTTGACGTATGAGGGTCAAAACAGATCAGTTCCCAGGAAACCGACAGCCCGACAAACAGCACAAGAGATTTGATTATAGTGGTGAAGGTTTCGTGCAGGACCATCCACACTTTTCGAAGGGCCGAATACAGAGACCTGGTGCACTAAAGGTTTTGAATTCAGAGTTGTCCTTCTCCTAGACCAGTTGCCATCCAACTCGGCTCTCAGATTCCTCAATCCAAACCGCTATCCATTACTCCACCATGCCTAATATATATATATATATATATATATATATATATATATATATATATCCTCAGGGAGCCAGGAAAACCTACCTAGGTTTTGCCCTACTTAGTGTATTGAGAACTTTATGTAGTTGTCTTTTTACTCGTTTTAGGGTTTGTTTTTTTTTTTTTCTTTGGACTTGGAGCTTAAACACTGGACGATTGTTTTTATCTTGGTTTAATGTTCTTGGTTCTTTCTTTTTTTTATTCCCCATCTTTCCTCGGGTACCGATTTGTTCTACTGCAAGTTGAGCTATCCGAGGTTTTTTCCCAAACGAGTACCACTATATATATATATATATATATATGGGTAGCACCCTTTCTTTCAAACATCTTTCATTAAATACGGCAAGCAAGGAAGATTTACTTAATTTTTTATTAAGTTTTTTCCAGCATTCTAACATTTTTCTCTTTTGTAGGAGTTAAGGAATATAGAAATTGTCCATAATTTTTATTTTCCCAAGCGCTTTCGGCAACTTCTCGAGCCATTTTCAAGGGTGTTTTGTCCCTGGCGTTGTTATTTTTTTCTCGTGTTTTGACTGTTACGTTGTAATATTTTTTTTATTTCACTGCCTAGTACAAGACTGTCTTTCTTGCCACAGATTAATTACCTATATCGAACATACTACCACCTCCTTGAGTAGACGCCTCACGTGTCACTTATTAGACTAAAGTGCTATAAAAAAAAATCTATCAACCCGTAATTTACAATAATCCTGAAGAGAAATTCTGGTCGAAAACACAAGAATTTTATATAAATCATATTATCAGAAAGATCTCGCTATTAGAGAGGCCCTGTATATCAAACATTTCTCTCCTAGTATCACCTAACATTGTTTAACAGAGGAAATAGAGCGTTAAAAGTTTTTGTTTTTTTTTTTAATAGAAAGATGCTCACGCGATTTCTATACGCGCGCATCATGTGAAGGCTCGGAATGAATTCCTTAATGGGCATTGTATTCCTGATCAATCAAAATTCGTAAATAATTATATAAGCCACACTACAACATGTTTGACACGCAGACTCACTCTACACCTTTCTGACCATAGCTCAATTAGATCTCATTTAAATATTCATGGAGATCTACCGGACACTATTCGTAACATACTTGTTGACAACACTAATATAATAGCATCATCTACATGCAGAAAAAGGCTAAAAATAATGGAAGCCTTAGTAATAAAAGCAAAAAAAAAACAACACTTAATAATATTAACTTTGAACATGGACACAATATCTTGACCGTGTTTTGAAAAATGAAAACATTTTATAAAACATACATACAACAAACTATTTCTTATTTAACAGTTAAAATATTTAATCCTTGAAAATGGCTAAATGTATAGCCGAAAGCGCTCGGATAAAAAGAACATTCGGACAGTTTTTATATAATTTATCATCCGAAAAGAAAAAAAATTATTAGATCGCATGAGAAATTGTATAAAAAAACTAAATAAAAGCACCTCGTATTCAATGAAATGGGCATATATATATATGTTGAGGTTAGCAACAAGCGGCGTCAGGGTTTTATGCTTAGACGCAATCTTCAGGTCACATTTTATTTTTACGTATGCTCTATCCCTGATAACTAGCGCTTTTACCCATAAGTATAGCATATCTTAAAACTATATGTCTGATATATATATATATATATATATATATATATATATATTTCAAATTTTCAGCTCTTTAAGAAATACTAGGATGTAACCAACAGAATCACTGATGGTTTTTGATAATGATTCATACTATCGACAGTACATGTGCAAACATGAAGTTCGGAATGTTTATCCACAATTTCGATCCAGATATACATATTATTCAGAAATTGGGAAAATACAATAAAAAAATAAATAATTAAATAAACACGGACATTGTATGAAACATCGCCAAATTTAGTTACTTAAGACTGACACATTTTGGTATTATCCGTTTTTTGCTCATTTATCGATTCACCGTGTCCAGTGTGTGTCAATTTCTCCAAGCCTTCTTTCCTCACTATTCATGATAGAAATTTCAATTTTTTTTTATTCTAAGCACAAGTGTCTTTTTCGATCTGATTTTCCTTAAAACTTCCTCGTTACTCACATGTTCAGTTCATGGTATTCTCGACGCCCTGAAACACATTTATAGCTAAAGAGTCATTGTTCGAAACGGACATACAGTAATAAGAATAAAACTGGTTGAACTAATATAAAGAAATTTAATTATTTCAAACTTAAGTCATTTTCTTTTTTGCTTTTATTTTATTTTCATTTTGCTAATTTCTACTCTTGATATCACATACCTCCGAACATAGTCATTTTTTTTTTCATTTGATTCACATAGGAAGCCACCTCTCTATCTTAATGCTTCGTTTGAATTTTAGTAAGTATACTTTTGCATCATCGTCATTGAAGTATGTCCTTTAAATTTGGCAGATGATATTTTACCAGATTGCCTTTAGCTCACGACTAAGACATTTTGGTGTTATCCGTTCTTGATCAATTATCAAATGAGTTGGGATCAAATATAGATCGGATTCCGACAGATCGGAATCCAAAAGATATGGTACGTATGTAAAAACGTTCCCAAATCAACACGCGAACCAACAAACATAATGTCTGCTACACACACACACACACACATTATCATCTGCTTCACACATAGACAAACTAAAATTTTTATGCACTTACGTATAGCAATATTTACTTTTTTAAGGTAAGCTTGGAATCAATTTGTGGCACAAGGCCTAAAAGGGGAAATGGGTTGAGGCTGGTCGACACTATCTTATACCTTTTGCTAATCAGATACACGACCCATTCGTTCATTACACTTTGCGCATCTACCACAAGAACTCTTTCATCATCATTCAATCCTACATATACAGGGAAACCCGGATATAAGAGAGACCCGGATATAAGAGAAACCCGGATATAAGAGAAACCCGGATATAAGATAAACCCGGATATAAGAGAAACCCGGATATAAGAGATTTTTCTGGTCCCAAATTAGAGCCAAATTAGTTAATGTATATAAATTAGACCAAACCCGGATATAAGAGAAACCCGGATATAAGAGACTTCTTCTTCGGTCCCGACAACTCTCTTATATCCGGGTTACACTGTACCATAAAACCGCACACACACAGAGAAGCTACAAAACACCCCATAACATAAAAATTGTTGAGTATAAAGTTATATATAAAAATCTGTTGATGATAAACAATGAGAGGGAAGGGGATGAACCCAAAATCAAGTTAAAATATAACAAAATTACACAATCTAAAGATACCTGATATTAGTTGAACCCGTCCAACGCCAAAGAAATAAGAGGCCGCTGTATTCTGTCTTCGGGTGGACGCGTTGTCGCTCCTTGAATTCGGAACGCCACAAATTATACTAACGTTGGTTTAAAGAGTCGAATGCACGTGATACATGATTGACCAATGAAAATCAAACAGCAGATAAGTAAAAAAAATACCAGAATTTCTTTTTTCTTTTTCTCCATATCTCATTCTCTGATGAAGCCTTAATAAAAGTGAAACACATTAAATTTATAAACGTTTCTTTTTTTTTTTCTTTATCCTATCATTCTGTCAGATTCCGATCCATATTTCATTTGCATTTGATCTCAATTCATCTCATTATATGTTTGATAAGAATCATTAACCTACCGAACACATCACAACCAAAAAATCTAAATTATAACCTTACCTTTTATTTGACATTCTCACTAACATTTACAATATTACCACAAATTATATTACTTGTATTTTTTTAAAAATAGAAGTGAGTTATGGTTTAATTGCTAATACAGTTTTTGGAAAGGAAAACTTTTAGTACATTTCATCAGGCATTTATTGATATTGTTTTAGTTGTTTTGCACATACGGTAGATTCATAATAGCTACAAAGAAATCTACAAGTATCAGTGAACACTGGTACATATGGTAATAGTCTGTCTGTCTGTACGTGTATTAAAAAAACAGTCCCAGATTAAATGGAGTATTATCCAACTGCACCAGCTGACCACACAATGGTGAAGATATTAGAACTTCTCCTACTAGACAGGCACACATACACAATTACGAATACACACTGCCATCCGATGCCCGCTTATCTACGGTTTTAATGCATGTGATACATGACTGACCAATGAGAATTGATCCAAACAAAATTGAAAATACTAAAGTTCTGTCCTTTTGTGTGTTTTCTCTCAATCTCGGTCGAAGCTTTAATAAAAGTGAAACATGCTAGATTGATAAACGTTTCTTTTTTTCTTTATCTTATAAATTATCAAAATAAAACAATCAGTGCCGTCGATAATTAAAATCGGATCGTCAGTTCTTATTGTTCCTTATTTTCTAGATGCTCTACCTTGAGAGGAGCTTGAGCCTTGTATTAGTAACATTATTTTTAAACTAATAAAAGA